CCGACTCACCGAGCGATGGGTAGTTGTGAAACTGTCACTTTGTTCTAGTATTTATTGGTCAATATCATATTTAATTAAAAAATCCTCGTCTCATGTATACTCGTTTGCGAGTTATAAATTGTGAAACCTTTTTAAAAGATGTTTCCGTTATTTATAAATGATCATTAATTTTAGCATCATATTAGTGTAAATTATATATATTGTTGATGTATCAAGTTATGAATTCTATATACTTTAATATAAGTTTCTGGGATTGAAATTCTGAAAACATTCCGCTAGTAAATTATAATAACGCCGCATCAATATCAAATTATACCCGCTTATAAACAACAAATATTCTCTAAAAGACATGGCTGACACTACCATGTGCTTGCAATGTGGGGTGGAGGATACCATAGAGAATTTTCTCCTGGCATGCATACAGTTTTGCCTGGAGCGTCAGGTGCTGTTAACTACTGTAGCGGACCTCACTTCAAACTATAAGTAATGAAACTAGCGACAAAGTATAAACTAGCGACATGTAGCAAGCACAGTACAAACCGTAGCGGCATAACCTCGTTTAGGCAACACTGCATTCACACGCTAATCCACTAGTTTCCGCCTATTAGCTCGGTCGCTTTACCACCGGCCGAGTCGCCGACGCCCAAACAACACCACGATGTGCTATACTCAGCTTAGGCTCATTGCCTTCCAAATTTCTCTCTTGTGTTTCACTCATTATAGCTGTGACGGATGTGATCTAGGGAAGGTGCGGGATTTTTATTTTAGTCATTGAATGCCAGTTTTAACTCACGTGTTAACTTGCATACTTGTCCAACTCAAATCATGTGTTCAATATTAACCGAATTCCACTTCACTGCAAATCACGTCAAGCCTCGTGTTTGCTGCGCCTGTAACATCACTACTACAACACGTCCTTTCCACTACACCATGTGCATCTCTCAACTCCACGTGCATCTCGCCACTCCACATGCTACTCCACGTGCATCTCGCTACTCCACGTGCTACTCCACGTGCATCTCGCCACTCCACATGCTACTCCACGTGCATCTCGCTACTCCACGTGCTACTCCACGTGCATCTCGCCACTCCACATGCTACTCCACATGCATCTCGCTACTCCACGTGCTACTCCACGTGCTACTCCAAGTACTAGTATCTACTAGTAGTATCATCCACGTGCTCCTGACACCTCGTCATCCTACGTACCCTGGTCTCCCAGTTCGTCCCGTGGCCGCCATCATCAAGCAGGTCACGTGGGCTTAATATCGCATGGCTCCAAATAAGTTAACTGCTCATTTTACCCAACCAATTTTTATCTTGCCTATTCTTTTAATTTCAATCTGTCTCATTCAAAACCTAAAAGCGGATCCCGACGTTGTGAGCTTTTTTACAATAACAAACATTAATGGATCACATTATCACTTCAATCCCGGGCTATGAACGTTCTTTGAGATGAAACTGACATAAATTAAATGTGGACGGTAAAAATTAAACCCCCACACTTGGTCTGAACCGCATCCATATTTTATGAAGGATGAGTGTCCTGACGAGATGTGTGGAAGAAAGGGTGGCGCAGCTCGATTGCCTCTTCCCTGGACAGCTCCAGCGGTTTGGTTAATTTTCTTTACAATAAATCCTAAGAGATTTAATACTTATTTAAGAGAGTTATTACTAAGAGAGTTATTATTATTAAGAGAGTTATTATTATTAGGAGAGTTATTCTTATCATCGACACGTTATTTTCGTAGCATATGCATTCACCTGTTCCTAGTGGCCTCTCAGTCAAACGCCGTTTTGTCAGTTGGAGTAAAAGTTAGCTGCTGTTATAGTCAAAACTTTCGGTTATTATAAAGTATCAGTGATAGGTAGTGTTATCTGCTGGTACACTGTTAGAAAAATTCCCGTTAACGGTATTACCGGCGTTTCAGTGGCCGGTCGGCACGTGAAAAGAAACACCCTATCGCCGTTTTTACTCTAATTTACACTAGAAATCAGTAAAACATCTGATAAAAACGGCGAAACAGTTCATTTTTACGGGGCGACCGGCCACTAGAATGCCAGTGGGACCGTTTTTTCACCATTTTTTCTAACAGTGTAAGCTGCAACTATTAACCTCTTTTTTGATGACAAAAAAGTTTATAAACTACTGACAGAGATTTTTAGAGCGCATGTTAACAATAATTATCGTATCGAGATATAGAGATAATAGGGATATGAAGAAGATTTTTAACCCGAAATACTGATGTCACTGTAGCGCCATGCTTAGCTGTACTGTATGGGCAGTGACGGCGGCACCGCGATGAAGGAGCTAGTCGGGGGTTCGAACACTGGGAAGCTCTGTTAATTTCTCGATGTCGCTGGTGGGCGGCGCTTGATCGCCGTCAAAGGTGGTGCTTCCAGCATGGCCTTGGTTTGGTGTCTTTGTTTAAACGAACCCTGGGTAGTTGTTACCTGTGGGATCTTGATGCTGACAAATGCTGAGATGCCGTGGCTGGCTGCTGTGGGGGTGGTAGATTTGTTTGCTAAGATTCACCATGATTGGCTGCCTCCTCATCTTAGAGTAGTACAAGTTTGAGCTGGCAGGTATTGTGACTCATTATAACGCTATAATACATTTTTGTCTTCTAATTATATATTTTTACTTATGTTAATACTTTAGGCATTAATTTCCATTTCTTGCGTGACTTCACCATATCTTATCTTTATCTTTTACGGAATTGCACAATATCCCTGCAGAATCATTTCCTTGCCCGTAAATACTCATTAATTAGGTGATAGCATTGCATTATTTATTCAAGTAAATGAATCACATAAACATCCCCGTCAGCCAAAACACCTCACGCTGTAGCGGGATAACTATGCTCCATACACGACGTTACAGGGTCTCTGCCTACGGACCCTAGCGTACGAGGATTAATCAAAGTGGCTCAGCGAATCTTCAATGGACACAAGGTATATTTACATTTCACGGAGAACTCGCAGCCACGACAAAGGACTACAAACTTAATTCTGTGGGGCTCTCCTTGAGCAAGTTGCAAGTACGTCTGGATTATCCGAAGTTTCCCGGTAAGAAACTGGTTCATCATCAAACTCAAAGAGAGGGGCCACTAGTTCAGGACACTTCCCGAGCCGGTGATCACGACTACGGCAGAGGAAACACTCTTCTTCGCTCAAACACTTCGCGAAGTGTGCCCCCGCACTTCGCATTTATTGCAGGTTTTACGATTGGAGTTCGTAAAGACTAATGTCTCTGTCAACTTTAAGCGCTGACCACCATCACAACTACGCCGGAAATTCTGTGCCGAAGTAGCGCATGCCAATCATGAGGATCTGCATTTTTCGAAATCCACCGGAGGTGGTGGCAGAACTGTCGGTAACAAGCTAGACGAAACTGGTGGGGAAAAAACTGGCATGGATTCTATTACCGTTGCTTCCTTCGCGACCGCCGCCGTCGGGGGACACTCCATTTCAAGAAGAGGGTACACATTCGACGCAGAAGCAGCGATGAGCATGTTTCCAGAATCGCTAAGTGGGGCTCTCCTTGAGCAAGTTGCAAGTACGTCTGGATTATCCGAAGTTTCCCGGTAAGAAACTGGTTCATCATCAAACTCAAAGAGAGGGGCCTGTGGCTCAGCGAATCTTCAATGGACACAAGGTATATTTACATTTCACGGAGAACTCGCAGCCACGACAAAGGACTACAAACTTAATTCATTCAAGTTTACAAGTACGGACATTATACAGACAATTAGACACAGATATTTACAGACATTACAAAGTGTAGTATATCGATGTCATGATTACTTCTGTGGAGCTGTAAGGGAATGCGGTGTAATATTGTTAGGGAAGGGTGCAATTTATACAAATCAGGAATTATCATTTTAGTTGACATAATTATTAAATTTGTATTTTGAGTTTACCGTTTGCGTTCAAACTTTTCCGGACTTAATGTTTCATCATTTCACTCTTTTGTTCGTTCTTGTTTTAGAGATGAAGCACTAGACGAAGCAACGCATTGCACATACCCGTTAAAATACAACGTGCGGAAAACTCAGTGTATTTTATACATACTAAACTGCAAGACAGTGCTCGAGTGATAAGACGTAGTTCCCCAGCACACCAGCAATCTATTGTCTTTAACTTAGTTCCATAATACACTCATTCAGTGACCGAATATATTTTTGAATTGCGTCTTTTCGACCAAATCCCAAATAATTTTAAATAAATACTCAACGCATTTTCGAAATAAATTTTGTTTTGATAGGAAGTTGTCCTCGAAAAAGGTTGCAAATTAATAACATAACGTATCTTGATTCTTGAAAGTCATTTTAATACAAAGCTTGAAATACAGTTGATATAATTCCAGAGCCAACATTTTGTTCCGAAAGAGATTACGTATAAGAAAGTCATTCTTCATATGATTCCACAAAAACTTCGTTCAATTGAAAGCTGCGGAAGCCATGGTTGATTTAGTCGATTATGAGATTTTGATTCCAAGCATCGCACCGCAAATGCATATTGATTGACAGCCAGTCGTATTCACACGGCTGAATAGCACAGTATAAGTTATACAGTATACAGTAGTTATCTTGCATGTAGTCGCTGCCAGTTTTTACTGCCTTGTGACAAACTTTCGTAAACCGCAAACCATTTGCATATCATTAATTGTTTTCATTTTCACAAGTGACTTCCCTCTTGAGCGATGATGAACGCTCGCGATATCAGCAAGCAGAAATTTACCCTTATCCTTTTCTTGGAATAGGAATTGTTGCATAAGAATTTTATTCGCCTGCTCAATTCAAACAAAAAATTCAATTGAAGCATAATTATCAATGGAACGTATTAATACGCAGCTACTCGAGTATTTATTTTCTTCTATTAAAGCACATAGATTTGAGTTGTTCTTCTTTTCCGCTGTTGTACTTCCCAAAGTCTCCGGCCAACATTCTGCCAGTATTACTGGACAACTTGTAATGGGCAGAACAGAAACACACCAATGCAGCGATGATGTTTATTGGTTCAACACAACACAGGAAAGCCTCAAGAAGGCAGGTGAGGAAGGCGTGAAATACCAGCTCTATATCAAGAGCAAAACTATTTCACTCTTCACGCAAGGCTAAAATATCAAGAAAAATGTGCGTATTGTAGTAGCCGCCTCAGTGCTTCTCAACATTCCTGCAGGGATGTGTTGGGGCCGATGCAGAGAGCTTGTGTTTCATCCAAATACCCGCAGTCAATCGGAAAAAGATCAATCCAATAGGTGTTGAATTCAGCACATTTCCGAGAGGGAGAGCCATTGTCACGAATGGTATTATTCTGGCCGTCCGGAAGCCAGCGGTAGTAGCCCCCTTCTCCACGCTGCGTGTTGATATAGAAGAAGAAACCTATGTCTGAAATATATTAATAATTATTTAACGCCTATTGATCATTGAAATTCATCAGTGAGACTTGTCTCTTATAGTCATTCTTAGCTGAGGCTAATTTAAAACTAGTATTTAAAACAGATGGAAAGGACGGATGGAAGTTGTGTTGTATGATATAAAACTGTTTGTGGTGGTATCGCGGTACCTATAGAAAAAATTTAACACAACATGAGTTTCCAGAAAGAGAAAAAGGGTATGGAAAAGAAGCTGGAGACTTGAATAGGTGCATAGCGAATATTTAGGTTAGTTGAAGGAGTATGGGGTTGGGTTAGGTTTAGGAGGCGAAGAGATCCCGCAATTTTTCTATAAGGTTTGCGCGGAGGATGGATGGGAGGATGATGGTTCATTATTAACATTATTTACATATTTGAGAACTATTAGGCAAAAATATATTACGTGCAATTCTCCATATACATGGGTTTCACATTTTAAAAATATGTTAGGGTTGTATTATTTTTTCGAAGTATATGACATAATGAAGGTGAAAGTGACGATGGGGTGATAATGATGAGGGTAATTTCTGAGGTAAGCGAGTCACGCGATACTCAAGAATGTTGTTGGGCAGGCAGCAATCATATTGATAAAAGGCATTCAGTCTCGTCATTACTATGAGTCATTCTCGGTGTGTTTCGGCAGTCAGTAATCGTACCTTGGATACCTGCACCATTACGCGTTCATTTATAACTGACTTACAAGTGCGGCATGTTCCGTCGTGTAGATGCTTTTGGTTTTTTTTTTTTTAATAGTCGATATGTGTACAAGGGTATATATAGGTGGGGACTAATGCCCGTAATTTGGAACTTTTGAATCTCCGGTGCTGTACGCAATGATGTATTGATTGAGATAGTAAGTCGGTTAAAGAGCTTTTGGTCATTTATTGTGATGGTGGACTAGGTTCTTCACGCTTCTTGAAGGAAGACTGTGTTTATGGTGGGTTTCAAACATTGTTCGTGCAGTGCTCTAAAGAGTCTAGTCGATACCGATGTGTGCTTGTGATGAATATTAGTGCTTTGTTTTAGACTTTCTGCAGTTGTGTTATGAATGCTCTAGATAATGTGTATAAGGGTATTAGGGCAAAATGGCATTCATGCATTCTTACAAATGCATGAATGTGCGTTAAACTGCGTTTTGCGTTGGGAGCGAAGAGGACAACCGGAATCTGTGTATTTTTGGTAGGTTTGTTAATTAAGCTGTCGATTTTCTGGCTGTTATATCAGCATGAGACCGAAAACCAAATGATGCTAAGTTTAGGCCTAAGACTGTTAATTCCTTTGATCGTGTACCTATGGGCAATGGGAGATGTGTATGAAAATTTATGATGTGTTTTGCCTTCTGATAGGTATGATTTTAAACTTTTTCTGTACGCCCTAATTAGCCTCTTGTTTTCATACGTCTTACTGTTAAATGCATTTTGTGTGTGTAATTTTGCGTGGGCGTGTGGCTGAAGCCTGAAATTTTTTGTTGTATCATCAGAAAAAGCAGTTGGGATATTGATGTTTTGAATAAGGTATGTACAATTATTGGGGGTTAATGAGAGACGATCTTACGGTGAGGCATAAGGTACGTTTTATTTTTGGGTGAGAGGGATAGAATCTTTTATGTAGATTGGTAAAGGCTATTACTTTCCTGGCTCTTATGTGGGGCCAAAAAACCGTGTGATGTGATGAAATGCAATCCTCAGTCACTTCCTTTCGTTGTGCATGGGTAGTGTGTACACTCAATGAATATGTCAGATATTTTGCACCCGGCGATAGGGATTAGGGATGACTATAAACTTGGTTCTGTTTGTCCTGATGAGCCATTTATTTTCGAATGTATTCATCTATTTGATGGCGTATTGTACCTGTTTCGCTGCGTATGTGTGTGGGTATCGTTCGTCCGTCTGTTATCTGTGTAATGTCTGCTAATGCAATATACTTCGTGTTGGGGAGTGGCGGTGAGATGTCGTGAGTGTAAAAGCTGTATAGGGTGGGTGAAAGACAAGCCTCTTAGGGGACACGTGAGTGTAGTTGTAGAGGTGGACATACAGGGTCCGCCATATTTATGGGAATGGATGTTTGCTATATAAAATAAATTGGATTCTAGAAGACTTTTCTTTTATAATGAAGCTTAATATCATCTTAGGATCATCTTTCTATTTTATATTGCAGAAGTCTAAGGTGTCTAAATTTACCATTACTTATGGCAGGAGATAGAAATGCAATTGAAACCCTTCATGAAAGGGGCGAGAGTAATTCAGTCATTGCAAAAAAGCTCCAAATTCGTCGTGACACTGTAGAAGGTGGTAAAAATATTCAACGAAACTGGTGAAACATGCAATCGACCTGGTCAAGGAAGTAAACGAAGTGTCCGAACAAAACAATTGGTCAAAAACACGGGGGAGAAGTTGAGGAGAAACCCTCGTCGCTCAGCTGCAAAATTGGCTGCAGAAGCAGGAGTCAGTCAGACATCAATGCGTAGAGTCCTCAAAGATGACCTCAAAGCCTTCCCTTACAAGATGCAAACAAGACATGAACTAACAGTCATGTACAAATGAGGCTCGAAAGGTGCCAGCACATTCTGGATCTCATTGAGGATGACACGCTGCCAAACTTGGTGTTCAGTGACGAGAAAAAATTTGACATTGAACAAAGCGTAAACCATCAAAACGGCTGAGTTTGGAGTCGGGATGGATCTGTTGCAACCAGAACAGCAACACGACGTCAAAATCCCATGTCCGTGATAGTTTGGGCCGCGGTAACCGCCACTGGGAGGTCCCCATTCGTTTTTGTCCCCTCAGGAGTGAAATTGAACAATCAGTGATGCATTTTGGAAGCTGTGCTGTTACCTTGGGCCCGTAAACACTTCAACGGCTCACCATGGAGTTTTCAACAAGACTCTGCTCCATCACATGGCTCAAACATGACCCAAAACTGGATTCATGGTCACATCCCAATGTTCATTAGCAAAAATGAATGGCCCTCAAGAAGCCCTGATTTGAATTCTCTCGACTTTTCTGTGTGGGCTTTTTTAGAGAGTAGGGTCTGCAGAACACCTCATGATTCTTTGGATAGTTTGAAGTCTAAATTGACACGAGAATGGGATTTGATCCCTCAAGAAATGCTGCTTGTCTCCTGTGAAGCTTTCCTGTGTAAATTGGAGGCCGTCATTAAAAATAAGGGTGGTAATATTGAATAAATATGTCTGTGAATCGTTTAGGTAATTCTTGGCTATTAGCTTATCCAATAAAAAACAATGCACCAGTTTGTTTCATTGAGAAATAACGAAAAACACGCGTTGCCATAAATATTGCGGACCATGTATGTGATTACCTATATTAATGGATGCTCTTCTATTTGTGAGGTAGCCTGCTAGTGTTTTTGTAAGTGGCGGGTGGAGATTGAGTTGAATTAATTCGGTAGGAGCGGCTCACTCTCTGTGTGCCTAAAGCCAGCGAAGCGGACGCTATACTTATACTCTCCACCATTGATATGCTGCTGCTTTATAATCACGTACAGGCGGGTTTGAGGTCAAAGATTTCACTCGAGCCATTTTTCCCAGGAGCTCACCCGATAGAATCTCATGAAAATTGGCATAGACCCGTACGCATATTTTGTGTACCAAATCTTCTTGTCGGATTTCCGAAATTTTCACTCCTTCCCCCATAATCCCCAAAAAATGGGTGAATTTGGTCAAAAAATTAACTAAAATGAGGTTGCGGAAACAATCACAGCTCGAAAAGTTGCAAAGTTTGAAATCAATGCGCTTGATTTCAAAAGAAAGGTTAAAGACTGGAGTGTGTTTGGGATTTCGAACGATTTTTTGTCGTGTCAAAACTTCATCCCCAAAATGGGGGTCAAAGTTAACCCAGAAAATTTCCTTTTCGGCCATTTTTCGGTGGTCTTTCAACTCTCACGGCCAAACCGTAAGGATTTTTGAAATTCTGACTACATATTCTCNCTGCAACACTACCAGCGGCGAGAAGCAAGCAACAGCATCGTGCATCAGGTGGCCCAAATGAGGGCGGATGAACGATAATCAGAGGCGACGATCCATCGTGGCCTGGGACTGCTGTGTCCCAAACAAATACTAAGGATACGACGTACGATGACCACCGGCGTGCAGGAGTAGGCAGCGCTCGTAAATGTGACTAGTAAGTTGAGAAATTGGGACCGTAGAAGTTTTGAAGCTGTGTTTTTTGCAACGGTCAGCTAAGTATTTGAACTTTTTGCACTGTTTACTTTGATAGAGGAAAACCGACACCTAGGTTATTGAAACTTTGTGTATTTAGGCCGGAGTTCGCATTTCCAACACGTTCAGTGAGTGTTGGAAATGCGAACTCCGGCCACAATCCTGCACGGTATGAAAATAGAACAGGTAGGAAATTAAACACGTCGTAAAATATACGTCATTGGCTGAGGTTAGGTTCAGGCGAGGAACAAGTTCTGGCGATCATGACAAAGGGTGGTTAGGTTAGGTTTGATCGGGTTAGGTAAGGCAGAGTTAGTTCAGGCAAGGTTAAGTTAGGTTAGGATAGGTTAGGTTAGGTTGGGTTAGGTAAGGTAAGATTAGGTTAGGACAGGTTAGGTTAGGATATGACAGGCTGTGTTCAGTTCGCTTAGGTTAGGTTAGGGTTTTCTGACTAGGTAACACTAATGTAAGATTGTTTTGAACACTAATGATACACACAGGAAAAGGGAAAATGCCACAATTGGGGGATTGCTGAGCGTAGTAGTAGGATATGTGTGGCAAGAAGAAGAGAGAAAAATAAAAAAAGTAAAAAAAGTATAGCGGCTGATCTGGTTTTTGCTGGAGTCCGGTGTGCCAGATCTTATCGACGACCTTGGTCACATACCGGAGCACTACCGGGTGTCCCCCCCAAAAAAAACGAAATTCAACTTGGAATGGCTGTAACTCGAAAAGTAATAGAGTTTTTGGAATGTCAGGATTTATTCCCTATGTTTTTCTCCATCTCTCCACCAAAAATC